GAGCTCGTCTCCGCGGCCCGGGAGCCCTGCTCTGTTGGTCAGACTGACCTCCGTGGGGACCCCCGACTGGGACGCTCTCTCCGGCGCCTGGCACGCGGGTGCCCGCCCGAGGGGCTCGGGGTGGTTTCCTCCAGGGCTTCGGTTCTCAAACTCGCTCCGACGCCGGGGGGCCCGTGATTTGCTGCTGCTGCGAACGCGTTGAGAGACGGAGGTGCTTACATTTGTGTGATGTAGGAGTCACAGGGGCCCAAAGGCGACTATTTCCACTCGAGAAATGCATCGATTTTAAAGGAAGCCTGTTTGTTGTTGTTTTTCCCCCAGTTAATTATCTGTGCTCCTTGGAGGGTTTTGTGTCCCGTGAGCCCTTAGTCCAAGACCAGCGGTAGCAGGAGCCAAACGTGGGAAAATGAAAACACGGGGGCAACATTTAAGTAAAGGGCAGGGGGAAATCTGTGAAATAACTTTCATAGACTTACTTATAAAAGTACGGTTTTATGCATTTTGGGGGGAAAAGTATTGGCTTCTAGGTGTCTGAACTCCTGGGGCCCACGCGCGCGCCCGCCCTCGGAGGGAGCCGGCTCCCGGGGGCGTGTCGGAGGGAATCGCTGCGCGAGCTCCACGCCCCTCTCTCCTGGGCATCTCCCCGATCCTGGTCTAGGCTTCCAGGTGAAACGGAACAGGATTGTGATGCCTAAGCAGGGGTTGAAAACCCTTATTCCAGAAATTACTTTTTATTCTCATAATTGTTTATCAGTTTAAAAAAACAACAACAAACCTTCACTTTTCCCATCCTCCAGGGAAACTTTGGGGTTACCTGAACCACACCAAAAATCCTTCAGTGGCTTTCCATTGAGGATATTGTGACAGACTCAGTACAAATGAGCGATGTCTAGTAATTCTCTGCTTTTGTTCATCTTTGCTGATCTCCGACAGGCTTGAAGTTAGATGACTCTCTAGGGTCTTAACGGTATGAACTTGAACGGTTGAGCTTTTGTATAAGCTCTGGTTTAAAAGTTCTCTGTGTTTATTTTTATGAATGGATGCTTTTTTTTTCTCCTTTGTGGAGTTTCCATTTATAAGCTTATAATTATTTTCAGGATTGTGGTTAAAGAGAAAAAACTTTGCATTTACTAGGCTGGGGAGTGCTAAAAGGTAACCTCATCTTACTCAACTTTAGATTCCAAGCCGGCCTGAGGTTTATCGTGAGTGGATAAATGGTGCCTTGGGTTTTGGACGTCTAGTGAAATGGGGGTAGTCAGTGGCTGTTCATGTCGCCACCATCCCCTAAGCATTGGACTAGGCTAGATTTAAGGCAGTGGTACAGGTGCTAGATCCTGGTGCCCCGAGGTCTGTTTTCTAGTGTTTAAGTGTTTTTACTTGATTTTAATTTTACTTCTAAATAACTTTTACAGGTTACAAAAGTAACATACCTATTGCAGAAAAAAAAAAAAAAGTAAAACCCAGTACAACACAAAGGGGATCATAAAAATTCCCTCTCCCACCCCAAATCTTAACACCTAAGCAGAGCTAAATTGGTTATTGTTCTGGAAAAACTGTGGTCCAGAGTCGAGGAGCACACCCGCACGTTCAGTCGAGGGTCCACACTGTGGAGGATTGTGAAGGAGTCTGAGTGGTAGATGACTTTGAGTTCTTTTATTTGTAGTGTTTTTGTATGTGCTCGTGGTAGAAAGAGTGTAGGCTCTGAAGAGCGCGGCTTGTGGCCCTGGTGTTGCTCTAGGACTGGGAATGCCCTTGCCTCCCTGAAGCTTAAATTCAAAAGAACTGGCGTGGGCAGATGGATCCACGTGTCTCTTCATTTCCTCACCTGCAAAGTGAACATACTAACGTTTGCCTTGTGGCCTTGTGAGAGCAGGTGAGAAAGCGCAGTGATTAGCGTGCAGCAGGCGTTCGCCCAGAGCTGCCCCCTTGCCAGCTCGCTGTAGACAGGAATAGACAGCAGATCTCCAAGGCCACTGGGGAAAAAGTAAAGCAGCCCTGGCTCATGCCTCCCCGAAGCAAGCTTACTATCTGACATATAAATTGCTCCTAGCCTAAGAGTTAACCAGAAGAGCACTCGTGCAATCCCCAGTGTGGACAGCCTGGGGCATCCTCAATAATGCAGTCACTGTATAGAAAGTAGGCTTTTCATAGGATCTCTGCACGGAGTACTTCTCAGTTTCCGTTAATTTTATTAAAACTAAGTACAGTAGTTTTCATTCATAAATGCAATCTTGCTTGTAGCTTTATTTCAGAACATAATGAAGTACGTTAAGTAGAGAAGTAGCTTTAAACAGCTACTTCAAACTGAACCAAGGAACATAACCTTGAAATACATCTCTAGTGATATTGGAAATACTTCACAGACAAGCGCAAGATGAAAATTCATGACTCAAATCATTGCATGCTCCCTTGATTGCCTCTGGTCTATTTTTAAAGCCCTTTGGAAGCAGGTGAATCATAATGAACTGTTTTAAAGAGCTGATTTTCAAACAGTAATGCATGTTTTTGTGGTTCTGTGCTAAGATGCCTTATTAAATACTTAGATGCAAAGAAAAATTTCTCTTTTAATCCCTCAAAAACAAGAATCTCTTGAAAGCCTACTCTGTGCCTGGTGCCATGATGGACTCTATTAGGGCGGTGGGGGGAGGGTTTTTTGGGGTAAGGGTGGGAGGATGGGGGTGAGGGTA